CTACTACACATCAAACACAGCCATTCATCATGGTGCCCACGTGTCTGTCACCATGCCCCATCTGCTTCTCCACAGCACACGCTAAACCAGTAGGTTGAGCGGAGTCATTTATCTTCTTGTTTTTAACATCTACCTTTCTTTTTTTTTTTTTTTTTTATTAGCCTTTTTCTGTCCTTGAGAATTCTTGAAAAATGCAGAGGGAGCAACAGCATGGCCTGAAGTGACGTTTTCGAGTCACTGTTTGCACTGGTTGCAAGTGGTTTGTTTTTTTGTTAAGAACAGTGCTTCCCACTCTAATATCTAAAGCAATCAAGTGATGGCGTTTGGGGTGAAGGGACATAAATACTACATTGGTGCAGGAACATGCAATTCGAAGGAGATTATGAAACGGTCAACTCCCCACATAAACTTTTGACAAGATTTTTCATGAAAAAAGACTTTTGAAAATGCCGAGTTTTTAAGCCTCTTATTCCCTCAATTCATCTATGCCAAGCATGCAACACGATTACACTGCTGTGTATACATTAAAATATAATAATTATTATCATATTTGCTCTGCTTTCCCCCATTCATCTGTCTTTTGGATTTTCTCTTTCAGGTAGTGAATTGAGTTTGTTTGAGAAATTAAAGGCATTAAGTTGCTTCCTGAGATATGCAGAAGATAGTAATTTCTAACCCCTTTTTCAGAAAGGGTAAGAGTCTCACACACAGCAGTGGAATAAATACATCACCTTCAGGCCATTTTTCAGTCAGATGCACACCAACATCTTCTTCATCCTGTTTTCTTTGTTCTCTGTGTCATACACGCATCAGAGATTTCCACATACGCAGGTGGACTGCTGACAGTGCATGCCCACAGGAAACCTGGGACAGATGACAACCCCTATTTGCACAGATCACTGTTACGAAATTACTGTGGCTAAAGGACAATAATTTTTTTTCTTGCGTTATAACAAAGAGTCCGGTGTGATTAAACGGTGTTTTTTTCCCCCCCCCCCCCCCCACCCCGACAGAAAGAAAGCAAAGAAATAAGCACTGTCAGACTTGGCAAGTGTGGGAGCACTGATATGCATTGTCCCACCTCCAATATCCCCTCCACACTCCCAGGAATGTAACAGTAAGGAAGAAGGACCAGGTTCTCCCATTTGCACATGGCCCATTATCAGCCAAAGCCAACCAGAGCAGTTCAAACTTTGAGTATCACCAAGCTGCCAGTCCTCGCTGCAAACCTTAATGTCAGACGAGATCACCTCCATCACAGGTTTTTGTGGGATAGGATGCTACAAAATCAAGTAACACAAGTAGGACTTTGAAGTAATTGGTTTTGTAATGTTTTACAATCTTCTAACTAGCACCTTTCAAAGTTAGGTTTTGAAGGAGATGATGGAGAAAGCATGGAATGACGAGGGGGAGGTTAACAAGACCCACAACATTACATGCCCAAAGAGCTGAGCATGTTCAAACCCATTTCCTGAGCATCTTCATGTTTCCTTCCTTTACTTCTTTCACTATCTGTCACTTATACTAATCACTGTCATTTTGTTTTTCTTTAGGTCTTCATTCTCACACTCCTTTATCTTTGTTTTATCTTTCATATCTTATTTTGAAGTTTGAAACTTGAGTTTCTATGCCATGAGGGAAAGTCCCAATCACAGCTGGATTGTCAGGGTGGGAGGAAACATTACCGGAATGTAAATCTCTCAGAGACAAAGCAGTTGAATTGAGAGATCACTTCTGAAAGGCTCTGTAGGAAGAGCTAAATTCTTTAAATTTCAGAGCTCCATTTTTTTTTCTGACCAGTAGAAAAGGCTGAGTTAGCTCCACTAGAATTTGAGCATCATCCTTTGACCACTGAACCTTCCTTATTTTTCTCACTCATGACGGTTGGCAAGATCAAAGTGCTTAGCTCACAGGATTATTTTCCAGCTTGTTCATTACTCTTTCCAAAGCTAAAGGCAACCAGATAAACAGGCTTATAAATTTGGATCGTTTAATCTACATCCTCTAGGCATTAAACCTGCTAAGACTGTTTATATTACTGCAATTACTTTCATTCAGGTTGTGAAAGCCAGAATCGTTAGCTTAGGTTATGATGACCTATTCAGCATGTTTAAAACCCATTTATCCTATTAAAGAGATTAAAAATGTGTCTCCTTTCATGAGATGTCAGTGATTCTTGATGTATGATTTAAGTATGCTGTAAAAGTAAAAACAATTACTTCTCTTATAGTCAAAGCCCACTACCACAAGATTGCCAGAATACATCTGTAAATGAAAAGCAACAGCTCTAATCTTCAGCATGAATGACAAATGCAATGGCTATTGAAATATTGCCTACGATGGTGTGTGGATACCAGGGAGCACTACATCAGCTGACAACTTTCATCAGGAATAATTACACCTCAGGCTTCTCAGGATCCAATGTGCTGGTTGCTTCCTGTCAGTAGCATTACTTTCTGTTTATTTGTTCTAACTTTTTTAAGAAATGAGGAAAAAAAGTACTCTGTTAATCTCTGGATTTCTCCATGCCACCCTGCAAGAGCCAAAAATCTTTCGTTTGAACGCTTTCTTCTTGAAGCCTGCCTGAATTTTATTTCAAATGAAGTTTCTCTGAACTTTCCTAGAAATACGATGACTCTATAACGCAGAATACAGTTGGTTGTTGCATCACTTTGAGAATCTGAAATACAGCCACAAAACAGGCTAAGCCAGGCAAAGTTTTGTCCTGGAAAGGATCCCAGAGCCAGCCTCCTTCGGAAAAATTACCAAACTGTCGTATTTTTGTCCCAAACATATGTAAATATGATTGGAGGTCTGAAGGGCTTACCTACCCGGATGAGTGCTGATGGTCAGATGTTGACCGTGCAATCCAAGTAAATGAAACGTAAGCCAGTTTAGCTGTACTTGTGCAGCACTGTGCCCAGACTAGCTAACTAGAAACATCTAGAAAACAGTCAGTGTGTTTGGAGATCACCAGGACCTGAAAGTTCCCTGGAAGCATCCCTTTGAAACAAATGATATGTATAAAAAGTAGCACCCCACTCTTTATTTTTCTTAGGCCTCTATAAACAAAAAGCCCATGTTTTTAGGAGTGAGTACCCCTGGCTTATGTGTGGAAGTTATTCCCTCTCTTCTCAGGATAGCAGGGAGTCAATTGGCAAGATCTTCTGGAGATGTCTCCGATATTCACAGAATGACTTAATACAGGAAGAATTACAACAGTCACATAAGTCCAATTTTAAACGCTTCAGTTTTGAAATAACTAAGCTTTTGTTCATGCTTAGTAAATTAGAAAAAGTGATTGTTTCGATTCCTCCCACCCCTCTTTTTGGCCTCTACTAATGAAAAAAAATCAGCCTTGGGTTTATTGTATATGTATGTTATAATATATGGATGGCTTTGGCCTGCACAATAAAGTCGTGCATAAAACAGGAGTAACTCTGCCAGCATTAAATGACCTGAGTATAACCTGGCTGATTCATAACAGCTGTAGGGTCTGCTCACTGTCTTACTTCACAGGACTTGAAAGCAGTCTTAGGATAAATCCCTCCTCCCACTGGAGTCAATAGCAAACTCGCTCTCTGCTTCAGGGACTCTGAGCTCACCACCCTTCTCAAATACCAGTCTTATCCAACCCAAAACTCACTTTTAGAGCCCTCATTTGAAAACCATAACTCTTTGAAACTTTCATAGCCATCTTCCTTACCTTCAGTCATATTAACAGTCCTGCTTATTAAAGCTTCTTAAAACACAGCGATGCTCCTTCAGCAGGTGGCCACCAGCACTTGCCCATAATGACTTTCTCCCCAGCTGTCCAGTGACATAACCACAGAAATGCCTGATATTTTACAGCTCTCCCCTAGCCTTTCAGTGCTGCCGCTTTCTCTTGCCATGCGAGATGAGAAGCACATGCTAGATACAGCTGTCAATGGGGCCCCAGTAAAGATGGCAAAGTGAACCAAACAAAAAAACAAGTAAAACCAAATGACTCTATAACTCAAAAGTTACATATCCGAAGACCAATTAATAAATAAGAACAGGTGTCAGCCAGAATAATAAACATCAACTAGAAAAGGGTGAGCCCTAGGACAACAATCAGGGATTTGTTTGGTAATAAGTGTCCAACATTTAATTTTCCATTACAGCTTGCATTCCTGTATGCCAGAGGCTGAATCCAACAGACACATAAAATCTATTTTTTAAAAAAATCATGATTTCTGCAAAATATAATTCCTTTTAAACTACCTGTGTATATGCTTATAAATATACACTCGATTAGAGTGTGCTATTAAGTGACATTTTAGAGAATTGTTACTAGCCCTTCTTTTTAGGCTAAAGAATTTCTTTTAAGTTTCAGGTTTTTTTCTTCACCATGCTGTACATTTTTTGTTAGAAATGTTGTCTGCCAAAATACGTCCCAACTAGGGTTTCTTAGTACACCAGTTTCCACTGCTAGAATTAAACAAATATCCTCCCCTCCCACCCCTAGAATAGCATTGTAGTAGATCAGCCTTTTTAGAAAGCCAAGGAACAAAACACTTAAATACTGGTCCATAAGAGCATGAGCTAGAATCAGTTTTAACACCTAAGTGAGTGTGTTGGCCACAAACATCCACAACTTATTCTGTAGTTCTCCCAACCTTCAGACTGAAACAGTTGGATTGTTTGCAAGCAGAGGCATTAGTAAAGAAAATTTACCTCTAAAACTAGAACCTGTTAAATGATGTATAATTTGATAATGTGTTACAATAGATTTATTTTTAACACACAAAATAAGATCCCTGTGAGAATGAAACAATAACAGTCTTCACTACTGCAAATTATTTGAGACTTGCTAAAAATATATTTGTAGTTATTTGGGGAAGCATAAAATGGCTATTTAAAATTTAAATCTCTCAAAAAGTGGGGGGGAGGTGAAATCATGCCTTCCATACAGACATCTAGTTGAATTCATCTGCAACGTGCAAGATCATATTCCTATTAAGGAATGGAAGGAAAAAAATACAATTTTTAACTACAGTCATGTAACGTAGAAACAAAGTCTGTTAGGAAGATAGTTACATAAAACAGCTAACAGGCTGCTAAGGAGGAATTCGGGTTGCATAATGTTTATTAGCCCCTAAGGGCAAAATTCCAGACCGCCTAAGTTATCCCTAATCTGGGTGTTAAGTGAAAAATAACCACTTCCATTCAAGATGGAGATCAAGATAGCCTGCTGTTCAGTAGTTCCCTAACCCTGAAGGTATTCAACACTCTGAGGAGAGCCCCTGGGCGTTACAAGCATCTGCTGCATCCCCACGGGAGCTCTCCTGCCAGGCTCTCCCGTGGTGGGCGCCCTGCCACCTTCCTCCTACAAAAACAAGGGCAACATCAGAATTAAGGGAAACCACCTAGCTGGGTGCAGTCCTGGTCCCCCAAAAGCACAAAGGGTTAGATCAGACAAAAAGTCAGAACAACCCAGCTTCTAAACACAATTTATTATTTATTTCTGCTGGTAAATAAAAGAAGTTTCTGGGAAAAGGTAAAAGAGGAAGTGGGCAGGGAGACAGAAATAGCCCTCGATTGCCTAAGAGAAGAACGTTTTTGGCCACATTTTCTCAGAGGAAAGCAAAAATCTGTCATAGGGAGACTTGCGCAAACCTACCAGGAGCTAAGCCACAGCAGCAGAAGTCATAACAAAATACACAAGACAGAAGGATTTCCACACCAGGATAAGATTTAAAATAGTGGGCTAAAACTGCTGAGCATCCTCTATGCATTAATAGGAGTCTTGTATTGATATAAAAGATGCATAGAAAAAAAAGGGGGGGGGGAAGGAATATTATGGAGGCAAATTAAATTGTAATTCTGTCAGTCAGCTGATCGAAACAAGTGACATGACTATGACAGAAGATTAGAGTTTGTTCAGAAAGGGCAGGAAAAGAAGTTCATCTCCATTCAAAGTCTAGAATGACTTTTGACTTTCTACCATCCAACAGGAAATGCTTTTTGTCATAGCCAGGCCTAGTACAGAGTGCCAAACCAGGGAGATCAGATGAATGCAGCTTTTTTTCCCCCCCAACATATCAGAACCTTCCAAAACAGGACAGTACGAAGAGCAATGCAAAAAAGGGGTGGGACTTTGTGAGCAGGAAAGCAAGAGCAGCAGAGAGACACTCAACGCTCCTACAATAGATTCAGTGGAAAGGGAACAACTGAAGGCATAAAGGTGCAAGATGCATGAGACAAGAAGAAGTGGTAGCTCAGAGGACAGACAGCAGACCTCAATAAAGCAGACATGAAGAGTTACTGGTCTTAAAGAAGCAAGCACAAACTCTCCCAAAGCAGAGGGGAAAAACAGGAAGAGCATTAAGAGAAACTACTTAAATCATGAATTCTTCATAGACACAAAACTAAATAAGAAAGTGTACAAGAAGTGTTAGTAAACTCTGATCCCACTTCCAATTAGAAATAAAGAAGTACAAGCATATACAGACAAAACAGACTGTCCAAGACAGTAATATCAAATTAGCGCTGGGAATACTCACTATTACTTTTTTTTTTTTTTTAAAAGGAGATTGTTTGCTTCTTGGTGGAAGGCTTGGAAAAAAATTGAGCAAAGATAGATCAGAAAAATTTATGTTGCTTAGTCTAGCAAAGAGGACATGTCATAAACATTACAGCTGTACTTCACAAAACTTGGGGCAGGGGGAGAGGAAGTTTAAGAAAGGGTCAATCATTTGTTCTGTCCCTGGCAGACATAAAATTAGTCTGAAGTTGCAGTATTTACATGGATTTATATTAGACATTCAGAAAAATCTTTGCCACAGTAAGACAGCTTTTAATGTTTAAGGTGTTCATGTAATCTCCATTTTCTACTCTCTCTTTTTTTAAGGATCAGGTTAGACAGACAACAGCATGTTGGTAGTAGGGCCTCTTGAAGCAGCCAGGAACTAGATAACCTCTCGAGATACCTTGCACCAAAGGCAGGACACGAAGGCAGCTTGCACTGTTAACCCCCAGAGAGGGCTTACTTGGAAGAATTTTGTTTTCTGTTGCTGTATATCTATGACTTTTCCTGAACGTCACACTTAACACAGATTTGCCTCAGTTTGCAAGGCAGGGTAAACGCAATTTAACAAAGTACAATAAATAGCAGTGTCTTAAAATAGTGTTTGTCTCAGCTATCTCGCCACGTAAGATAAACGTGGATGGACACCTTAGAGGTTCTTGTTTCTAGCTTCTGACGTTCTCAGCGCCCTTGGGACAGGCTCAGTACTTAGTAACTTACTAATGAAAAAGTCATACAACCAGAGAGGAAAGTAGCAAAAGATGCAGAGAGGCATATAAGCCCCTTTGCCGGGAGTATACAAGCCGTGCGGCCTCTTGGCCAGTAAAGCGTGCAGAATGTCATTTAGCACAGGGGAGAGGTCAGAGTCACAGTGTGCAGGCATGCGCAGGAGGTAGCTCTTCAGCTCCAGGAGGTAGTCTTCTCCATAATCGCTCCTCACGCCTGCTGGGAGGTTCTCCATCAGGTCCTTTTCTTGTTTATCCCACAGTTCGGATGTGCCTTGTATACCTGCAGTAGCAATCGCCATGAGATAGCAAATAGAGTTTGGGCTGAACTAGAATATTCATCTATAAAAAACAAAGGTGGTCTTTCCTTACCTCTCAAGCCCCAATTTACATAGTTGTCCTAAACCACGTGAATGCAGAAACAAAACATATCTAGGTTGTTACAACTGGTTTTACTGGGGTCGGAGGTGGGGGGGGGTGGAGAGAAATCATGAAGTACAGACAATATGAAAAGCATGTGGTTTATGCACAATTCTGTTACCACCTATATGTAAGCAAGCTTTCTCACAGCTAAGTCAGTATCTTTTTTCCCTTGCCATCCTGTCCTTATTTCCTGTTAAGGAGTACTAATTAGAAATAGCAGCAAAAGGAATATGATTGAAAGGTGCAGCAGGAGATCAGTTTGTAACCCAAACGGGCTCCAGAGAAATGTGTTTATAGTGGTGGGAGGAGGAGAATTTGAAACAGAAGGCAGCAGCAGCACATGCAAGAGGAAGTAGAGATGAAATCTTTGAGGTTATATATAGTAATATCAACAGCCAGTAAGCATGATTAAAAGTACTGATGCAAATATTTTGATGCAGGATACAGCTCAAAGAGAACTCTGATACTGAGGAGGGTAGGACTTCACAGACTAAAAGTGAGTCCTGAAGTTCTCATGCAGGAAATGCCAGCCATAAAACCCAAGTCAAACACAAAGCGATGCCTGCTTTTTAAACTTTGACAAGGCTAGAGCAAAGGGAAGTTACCGATTCTATAACGGGGAATAGCTCAGCAATTGCTTTTGAAGACAAACTGTGACCACTGCACAAAACAAGGTTTACAAGGTATAACAAGGTTTTCAGTACTCCTCAGTGAGGGTCTTTCCCTGAGTTTTAGTATGTCCCAAAGCAAAAGAGAGCTCTTCTTTCTGCCCAGGAAAAAGCATATACTAGCAAAGTAAAGGCAGGCAGTGTGGAGAATTGAAAGGGGTAGTTCTCTTAAAAATAGGTAGGTCTTAATTTCTGTAATGAAAGCAAAGAACGGGGGAAAGTATGACTGCTGAGGATTATTCCTGGCTCTCTTTGAGGATGCTGGACTACAGGAAAGATCCAAGGAAGAAACAGAACCATCTAAAATGTCAAATACCAACCTGTTCTGAAGCCCGATGGATGAATTGCAGCAACTTTAATTCCCCATTTGGAAAGCTCTTGCCTCATTACTCCAGAAAACATGGACAGAGCTGCTTTTGATGCACCGTATGCAGCATACTTTGGTAGTGGAATGCCTCCTGCAGGAGCAATATAAACATGATAAAGCTCAACTCCAGATCTTTCCAGCCTTTATTTCAGCGATTTAGAAGGATGATTACAGCAAAACCAAAATTATGCAGCTCTCACTGAGGTTAAAGACAAGTTAGTGAGGGAATCATTTCTTCCTGTAAGTAAGAGAAAAGAAAAAAAAAGTATTTTAAATTAGCACTTGCTTATATCACAGTTATGCTCAGTAACACCTGATAAGATACCTTGTAATGCAGAAAGAATAAACTGTATTGCATGTGAGGGTAAAAACTGCTGAGAATTGCAATGACTGTTGGTTTCAGAAACACAGATAACATTAAGCTCATAAACAGTGAAGTGATAGTGTAATACCCTGGTTTTGTCGTCACTGTAACAGATTTCAAGCTCCCATATAAACCACAGTTCCAACAGGGTACATAATCTCAAATCTAGCTTCATAAAGCCATCTGGTGTTCCAGTTTTTCCAGCTAATATCAGAAAGACCAGAGGTAACAGGACAAGAGTGAGGAAGACCTTTTTGGACAAATCAAAGTTTGTCCAATTCGGAATCATCCCACTGGTGTGCAAGGAATCCCAGAGACCTAACTCAGAAGCAGAACCACTATGGATAGTTATATCCCCTCTTCTCTGATCCCAGCAGCACTTGTTCAGACAGAAAAGATAGAAAACAGCAAGTATTTTAGGTGAATTTAAATTAAATCTATATGCTTAAGAAAAAAAAGTTTCCAAAAAAAAATATTTTCCAGATATGGAGATTTCCTCTGTTTGTTCTTAAAACTGAAAAACCTGCTACTGTTTCAGTCTCAGAAAAATTGAAAGACGTTTTAGGCTGAGCAGCTTCTAGTTTTGTTCAGTCTCCCTTTAGAAATTCAGCCTGTTTTGTCACTGCACAGAAGATCGCTGCCCAGTTCAGGGGAGTATTGTGGTGCCCCAGGCCATGCTCATGCAGCAGGGAGGAGGGATCAGACCACGTAAGCCTCCCCTTCCTCAGGGCACCTCGTTCCTCCTTCTGGCTGCACTGGTGGTTGGGCTGGTGCATCCTCTGATACGGCCTCAGGTTCCAGCGGACCATATTATGTTTGTCTCAACACATTTTAATCTTTTAAAAATATATATTTTGATAATGAAACTCTCAGGTAAGCCACTTAAGCCATTTATTTGGTTTTGTACTGTGATGACCAAGGTGTCTCTGGAGCTTCATACACAGAGTCAGGCCAATTACATGTTAACTTTTCTGCTGTACGCATCTGAATGAGTTTGAATTTCAATTAGTTAGAACTAATTGAATCACATATTCTTTCCCTCTGAGGTCAGGCTAACCTTAAGTCCAGTTAAATCAGCGATACACAGACAGGAACAGACTCAGCATGATGAGGCCTCACTAACTTTTCTGCGAATATTTTACCAAAGGACCCTCAGACCCTGTGTCTGAAGCTATTCACCAGAACTGGCCCATGTGTAAGAACATTTATGTTAACAGTTACAGTTTAAGCAGGGTTTTTATTGATCCCAGTAACGCCAAATTCTTCAGGGTAAGGAAAAACTCTCCATTTATCCCTCCAAGGCAGCTTGAGTACTCATGCTAAGAATGTAAACATCTGCCAAAACACACCTGAACAACAGACAAAGATTTCGTTAAAATGTTGGCACGGAACCATGAACATAGGTGGGCAGATGCAAAACATACTTATAACAAAAAGGAAAAAAATAAGAGAAAAAATAAAAGATAACATCAAAGCTAGACTGATGCCATATCCTCAGGGTAAGCCATAAACAGAAGGTAATGCCTGCACAAGTCCCCTAGGCAACACAGCAGGATTCAGGTAGGCACAAACACACCAAAATGAGGGTCGAAGCGGACAAGGCAACAAAAATTTTAGGAGTAGCCAATATGGTAAAGCCTTAAGAAATCTTCATAAAAACCAAAATACCTTCCAGCATCATGACATCCTACATCTAGCAGGTCTCATTTTCAAATGAGCTTTCTTGCTCCTCAGCTGCTAGCTATTACTATGATGATTATTATTGCTTCCATTTCTACATCTTAGGAACTAACATGTCCTCCTAGACTAGGAGGTTGCATCCTAAAGGCACTGGGTTTTGGCTTTTTTTTTTTTTTTTTTTTTTTAAAAAGACTACAAATACAGGATCTCCCATTAACGGGCTAAATCTGAAAAGCACATTACACCCTGTTAATTCTTTAAAAAAAATTGAATTTATTCATGAAAAATTTACCACTTTGCTTGCAAGTTAGGATAAAGTATTTTTCTAAGAAGATAATAATATTTGAAAAGAAATATAAATATACAGACACATTCTTCTGCTCCCAGGTTATTAACAGATCAGGCCCCAAGATAGAATGGAAGCATAATGTGCATGTCCTATGAATCTTGGCTATAAAAAGACAAACAAACAGCTTTATCTGTTGCACAATACATTAGAATGAGAATCTAAATTTTGGCTCCTTTTCATTTAATCAAGATCCTTCTTTAAAGAAAGCGAAATGCAGTATCACTACCTACATATGATTCCTTCTCCTTTCAAGCCTGTGGACAAAGAATGATTACATAAAGTTTAGCTAGTCCATCATCCAAGCAACTGAAGTTGTACAGATGCCAGTATTTCATCTTTTTCTCCCCATACTCAACAACTAATTTAGAACAGCAGCCTGAAAGAAAGTACATGACACTGTCCCTTTCATTGAGAGTGGGAGACGGCTGTAGCAGAAGACGCACACTCTGCAAAAATCATAGAATATATTGAAAAATAAAGCTGGCTTCTGTTCTCCAAGAATTAGATTTGTTTCTCTTCAGTAGGTGTTTCATCATTGTGCCTTCCCACTCTAGCTACAGTGTTCAAGCCCTATGAGAGTAGCAAAGTGGAGTTGCCCAGCCGAAATATCTACCTAACATTTGTTATAGACAGTTATAAATGGACTCTGGTTTACAAATGGCAAATGTCTTGAACTTACTTGAAAGATATTCATATTCCAGTTTTAACCTAAATTATATAAAAAAAAGTTGAACGGAGCCCTCAGCTGTAACCATCCCGAATAGAATACCTGTTTCTGCACAAGACAACCCTTGGACATCTCCACCGTGGACAGTATAGGTCAATAACACTCAAGAGCGAGGCAATTGCAGCCTGCTGCTGGAAAGTGTTTTAGGAACATCTGCGTTTTAGCTCTAGATTTTCTGGAAATTCATAAAGCTACCATCCCCTCCCCAGTATCTATAACACAAGATCTGAATTTTATAATCCTTTCTACATAACAATGTTTTCAACTAGATTAATCTCTTCTTCCTTAAGGACTGGTTACTGAAAATAGTCTCCCAAACAAAAGAAAAAGTACTTATTATCTAGATGTTAATTTCATATGCATATTGATGAGTGACACTGACCAACACCTCCGTCAACATCTACATCAAAAAGTTAGTCGCTACTTGCGTTGCATCAGACATTCACCCGGGGCTTTACCTCAGCTTACCTGCCATACTTGATACGTTAACAAGCCTTCCCTGGGATTTCCGAAGTAACGGTAAAAATGTTTTGGACACTTCCACGGCCCCAAAGAAATTCACATTCATACACTGCCTGTACGTGCTCATAGGGAGCAGCTCACCATCTGCAGGGAACCCCAGGATGCCAGCATTGTTCACAACTCCCCAGAGCCCTGAGAAGAGGAGAAAGCACAGGGTTAGGACAGGAAACCAGCTCCACAAGGATTAAACTGCTGAGACAGGAGGTCCCTCCAGATCAAAGCTGAGATGCTCTGTAGCTACAGATACACAGCATGACCTCCTTGGGATACCATCACCATTTTCTCTGCGTCCCAGCAAGCAGGAGTTACCCATATAAATACGTTGACTACCCACAGACCGGGGGTGGGGAAGACCTACATACCTGAGCCACGATGCAACAAACAGGTAAGAGATGCACCTAGCAGGCTGGTACATTAGTACCCTCATTATAATGGCATAATACCTGTATTTTGCACTTTCTCTGAAACTTTGAGATAGGCTTCCTTGACTTGGGTAGGATTGGTTATATCCAGCTGCAGAAGGGAAAGCCTCTGAGAACAGCTCCTTCTCAGTTCTTCAGCCCCAGGTCCATCCTTATTCAAAACCCCAGCAAATACAACAAAACCTAAGTTGTCCAGGTATTTGGCCAGTGCATGTCCAATCCCGGTGTCACTTCCTGCAAGTATCAAAAAAATTGCGAGTCAGAGAGAGTCTGTCCTGAACCATTATCTTCTGAGAAATGAGAGAAACTCAGTGGAAATACTTGCAAATATAACCAAATAGAGGATGAAATGAAGTCACTCAGAAATACAGCTACAATAGCTGAAGGTAGAGATTTAAGAGTTTAAGGAACTGGACCTTCGCATAGTCAGCAAAGCATTGCTGATAGAGTATCTCCTCTTTGCTTTACAGACAGAGCTGAGGGCATCCGTCCATGCTATCCCACCGAGATATTCCAAGATGATTTCATACATACAAAGGATATAAAACCCTGGAATAGCTTTATGCAAGTATTCAGACTGAAACTTGATAACAAAAGTATTTAGTAAGAACAGGAGAAAACACAACAAATATTTTAATTTGAAACGTCAAGTGAACAAAGCAATTATAAGGCACTGGAATTCAAAGAAATCACTAGGTAATATTTCTTAATCCAAGGAAGCATTATTTTATTCAAATCTCTACCATCTGGATCCTTCTAGCATGTATTTCTTTGGTCATAGGCTGCTACAAAGCCAAAGCTAAGTAGCATTTCTTCAACTGTAAAAGAGCTCATTGCTTTCAAGCCCTAAGAACGCTTCAGAAGGACATTTTTAGACTAAGCCAAATAACATCAGCTATTTAACTGATGCAGACTTGCGTCAGAATTTCTCTCATCTTCTCTAGCATCCGACTGATTCTCAAACTTTGTACATATAATGGAATGAACTACCAAATACAGCAAACACTATTAAAGCAAGCACACTTATAACAATCTTCGTGGTTGTGCAATTTCCCCCACCAGTTAAGAACAATGAGTATTTTACAAGTCAGTCAATTCACAACTCTCTCCATTCGACACCATATTTTGCTGTCACTATCTTAAGATACTTTTAAGTGTTCTCTCTCCTGGTATCTCTTCTAATTCCTCCATCTGTCCATCTACAGAGAAACTTCTTAGCAAAGCAGGAAACATCTCACTCATCTGCAACAAAACGACACAAGACTCTACCGAAGACAAGAAAAGGAGTTACAGAGACTGCTGCAGGAGCTGTGCCAAGGAAGCACCAGTGACAACATCAGGAGGAAAACAAGGAGTTTAAAAAAAAATGAATGTGGCTTTTTTACACCATAAAACAGAGAAACATCAGCATGCTGCACAACACTGCATTGTAGCCTCTATTTTAACTGCTGCAAAAAAGCTTTTGTATGCTCATGTGCACTGAAATCTGTGGAGCTATCCCAGATTTAGCTGTCTTCTGTAATAGCAACTTACTATGTAAACGCTCAGTTTCCAAACCATTCTGCAGCATGGCTGGAAACCCGAATGTGGGACAAAGGGCTGGGACTCTTGCCAGCTTTTTACCATCTCCTTGTTTGTGAAAGGACTGCTTAACCTTACCAGAAGATTTTAAGGGTTAATCTGATTTCAGCACACACAGGAGGATATTACAAGTGTTATTAATGGGCCTGTTCCTGCATCCTAAATCCTTAGTCAATAGAATCTGATTACCAGAGAGGTTCAACTTAATTAATGCTAGATTTTCATTTTTGGTCTCTGACTTCTAACTGGACTTTCATCCCTGAAAGGTGAAAAAAATTAATTCCAGGCGATTTCAAAGAAACATGTACTAAATGCCTAGATCAATCAGTCCAAGATGTTGAAAAAATTACTCATGCTGTATTTAATACTTTAAAAAAATGCAGTTTTTGGCATCTCTGAAATCTGCGGTTTGTTGAAGGTGCACCAGACCACCACATACATCACGCCTAACTTTTTGCACTCCTGACCCGAAAGAGAAGGGAAGAGAAAACATACATTCTTAGGATTCCCTAGAGAAAAGTGAAAAGGCCTGCAAATATTCTGAAGACATAACAGATTTGTAGTTTGGGGCTGGGGTTTTTCTTCTTCATTTGTTTTTTCATGGAAACCTTATTTCTGGGTCAAATCGTTCCCCGAAAGTACATACATATAGAGCTACACATTACTTAAACCAAAGTTTTACAGCACAGCTTTAACTTGGGAAGGGGAAAAACACTTAAGAACTAGGGACGGCTGTAGCAATCCTGAGAAGGAAATACAAGCAGTGTTTATCTGTGCCTGCTGCTGGGCTTATCCAATACTTTTAAAAATACAAAAAAAAAATCTGAGTTTTTCTGCTGAAGTCCTGAGAAACTACCTGTCAACACAAAGTTTAAATAGTACAAGTTTCTTTCAGCCTTAGTTAGATCTTCTGTATAGAATGGCTAGAGGATTTCCCTCCCTTACTCCTGTATCAAAAATAGTAATATATGAACATTTAATTGACTTATTTTGAGAAAAGCAGTCCGTACTGACTGCAGCTGAATCATTACACAGAATTCATTGTTATTATCAACGCACACTGGGCACCAGAAACACCTAGTCAAATACTAAGAATGAAAAGATGAAACTACCTGAAAAATATTCAACCCATTGAACATGACATAATTAAAGCAAGAGTTTTACAACTCCTGGTACTTTGGATCTTCACAACAATTTAATTCCTAGTGAAGCTGGATATTGAGTCTATCAAACTACAGAAAAGATTTCCTGTAAAGTTGTCAATGTGTTCGTATACCCAGGAGTTTCTATTTAAGGACACCTGAAGCACTCACGCACGGAGAGGGAGGATCAGTAGAAATGGTTTATCAATCAGTTCAAGACTGCTCACATGCCTGCAGTTATTCATGCGAAAAAGCATTTTGACAATTGGGCAGTTTTCCCTTATTGTGGTGTCCTGGTGGATTGTTGGCTTAAATTAATAACATATAGCAGCAGCACCAGTGAGTGCAACAGCCATCCGAAGAGGACCAGAACAATATCTGACAAGACCCAAAGAGGTTACTCCACCCTCCGTTAAAATGCAGCTGTCTCAGGAGTGATATGTGGTGGCTCTCTAGAGGAGCACAGCAACACTTCTCAACAGTGTAGGGCTGCTGGGGGAGTGCGGGGGGGCCAACACCATTTCCCCATGAAGTACCTGCCTCAGGTCTTGCCTAAATTGGAGAAAGCAACACCAAAACTGATTGAAAAGCACCTTGCTACCGCATACATATTCACATGCAAATCCTACAGTTAGTAAGGGGAAAGAATACTACAGTCGGAGCAGTTTAACCCAGAAATGTATTGAGTGGAACTGTTGTTTCCGTTTGATTGATTGCATACCAGTTTGGATACAAGTAACAAGTGAGACGAGTCTCCTCAGATGCGTCAGCTGCCAAAGGTGTCCAAACTTGCGTTTCTTCAAGACAGCTCCAGCACAGGTACAAAGAAAACACGTCCAATTGCTGGAATACTATTAAGTATTCTTCACTCACCTACACTGCTGTAATTCAAATTCTCTAGAGCAAACAAGCTCTGAGAGAGCATTTTTTTACTGAAGAAACACTCAATTGCATTCTTGCAAAAGGATGACACCTGAGTGCAAGCTCAACCCACTGCCTCTGCAGGGGGGTGGAGGAATGCACCCTGTACCCCGGCCCTGCTCCTGAGACCCACCTGCATTCAATATACCTGCACAAATAAAGCTAGCCAGCCCAGCATACAGCTGCTGAACTGGGAGGTGAGAACTTACTGCTCATCTTGTCCTCTCTTTCACCTTTGGTATTTAATCCTTGTGTTAAGGCTTCTTAGCCAAAATTAAATTGAATTATTTTCCAGGACGCCCTACACAAGGAGATGAAACGCTGAACTAAGTAGTTATACAACCCAGAGAAATTGAATGCAGCTTTCCAGAGGCAAAAATAAAACAAAAAACAAATTACAAGAAACAGCAGGTAATCACCCCAAACTAAGTGTGTGATTAACACAAACAAACAGCTATATTCACAGTATTTAGAAGCAGGAAATAAAAAAAAGAAAGTGTAAAACTATAGAAACGATAACCCCGCCAACCAAAAGTGCATTTTGAATAAAGCAGACTGTTAATACGGAGATTGAATTTATTACTTATGAACTTTTACTGCTGGTGAAAAAAATTACTCACCCCTGAATGATTTCATACGTTGTTTCAAAGAAGAGGCACTAAACTGGTATCCTGAATTGTATGCACGTGATATTCATAGCTTGTGCTACGCAAACATGTACATCAAAAGATAACTGTACATCAGTTTAATAAAGTTCAACAAGAAGTATTAAAGTCTAATAAATTGTGGCAAACAAGAGAAATGTATTAATGTAGTATTCTGAAGGCCTCCAGAAATTAAAGCTTCTCCTAAAAGATTAGGCCATTGTAAGTATTCCTACGCTTTTTTACTAGTTAACTTCACAAGTTTGTCTAAAAAGTTACTTGTAGAGATTAAATAAGGCACTAAAAAAATAGCATCTATTATCATCCTTTTCCACTTCATTTCAGAACAATTATTTACCTGGAGAAAAAAAAAAAATCTGGAAAAGCAAATAAAATGAGCAAGAAGAGTAAAAGAAAAACCAGCAAGCAGTGCCTTTCCTAGATGCTGCTGCTTACCCTGACAATGCAAAGTTTGATAGCACACCTGTGAGAGAAGCCAGTTTTTACTTCCCAAAGTCTGGAGTGGCACCTTACCTGTGACGAGCACAGCTTTGTCACCCACAGGCAGCGCTGCCCCGGCACCCAGGTACAGGGAAGAGACGAGACACACTGCCAAAAACACAACCAGCCCCCCGCAAGTGCTCAGCGTGGCGGAGCACAGCAGCCCCAGCAAGGCTGGCAGCAGAGTCCACACGAGCACCTTCGCTGCATCCACCTGGCTCCTCTTGGCCATGCAGAGCACCGTCGCCCCAAACAGCGCTGTTACACCCACGCAGAGCCATCCAAGGGAGCTGTCAGCACCGAGAGCATCCATCCGCATAGGCGAAAAGCAGGCACACACTAACTCCACCACCGGCAGTGCAAAAGCAGGTGTTGCTAAATGCAGCATGAGTTATATAGGGGCAGGGTGAGGGGGTGGGGCAGAGAAAGGGGACTCTGCTTAAAGGTTTGACATAAGTTGCAAAGCCAACAGCCACAAAGCACGATCTCACTTACCCTTGACATCAGCAATAAACAGAAGTCTTTCTCTTCTTACCTTTTATTTCTTCTGCCTGACAGCTCCACCTTCCGAACAATATGCTAGCTGGATAATGATTGACAGCAGTGGGAATGGACATGATGTAGCAAGCTCTGGCTTCAGGACAAATTTAACTGCTATATATTTCGTATGTTTAGAGTACATTTCCCTAGATAGTAAAAAAAGAAGTATTTCCTTTAT